TGTATTACCTACCTTCAGATATTCCAAAAAAAAAAAAAAATAAGGACATATCTTTGTGATATAGGTAAAACTTTTAATCCTAAAATATTTTCTAAGTAGTTTAGTTCGAAAGTTGGTCTCGATGCCACCCCAAACTATAAAAAAGTCTCATCAAAAGTAACATGTTCCGCCTTTGTTTTATACTGATACCTTCAGTCGCGTCATCACCACATTCGAGTCCTATCACTGTTGGACTACAAAGAAAGATTTGTCGGTGAACAGAAAATGATCTGATTCTTGAAAACGTCGATTTCGGTGATTTAGACTGAATTTGAGATGATTTGTTCCATGTTCTCTGGGTCATTTTGGACGTCTAGTAAGACGTCTACATCTGAGGTTTGCTTCAGTCTATTTTTTACCATTACGAGAGAGATATTCAAATAACGTTCATTGTTTTTTTTTCTTATTTTGCTGTTAATAGACGCCTTTTTAATGATTTACGGTCATATCGTTTCTTAACAATCATATCCTGGGCAATAATGATGTTTATTCCCTTCAGCTAAACACATTTTTTATTATTGCAGATTTTTTTATGATGCAATTTCTGTTTTCACAGAAGAATTTTCTTTTTTCCCAGTGGGTAAAAATTGTTTATGTGAGATTTTTGGATTTCAAGATCCAAAACTTTTTTATTTATGTACAAATAATCTCAACGATAATTTGTTGATTTTGTTTTGTATTTGAAGGAAATTTTAAAGATATTTTAACTCTGAGAATCTTCATCAGCGAGACCATTAAAATTGGTCGATGATTAAAAAGTTATGAAAGTGACTAGACTTTAAGCACTCTATTTCTTGTCTGAAAAAAGGTCAGCAGACAAGGTAAAGCATTTTAATACATTTAAAGGAACATGTTTTTTAGTGTAACCTGTCTGGACGTCCTTTTTACCTCTCAATGCGACAAAACATTCCGAACAAATGCCGCCGCTATAAAAAACCCCTCGAATTCCTCGACTCCATTCCGATAATTAATTATTCCGGGTTAAAATTTCGCGAGCCCCTCGAATCCCGTACGAAACTACGGGAAACCGTAATAGTTTGATTGATGTTGCATGTAAAACTATATTAACTTGATGTGTATCGATTGGCACGCGCTTTGTTTGATTTCCCGCCTGTGCCGAAGATTGTAATTAGGCCCTTTACGACCCTGTTGGCCGTTATCGGGCGTTTCTTCTCCTCCTGGAGAACTCCGTGACGTTTTTACGGGCCGTTAGATGAATGTAAAAGAAGTTAATGATAGTCGCGGTTTTAATAATAAACAAACTTCCCCCGCGACCGCCTCTTTTTCCGTCTTTGCAGGGACGTGCTTTCTGTTGTTTTAAGTTGGCGGTTTTAAAGGTCTTTTTTCCGGAAGACTCCGCAAATTACTTTCCTGTTTACGAGGTTTTGCAGACGTGCGCTAAAGAATGATATTTGCCACTAGCGAAGTCGTTAAAATGTAAAATAATGCACAGTCCTTAAACGTGTAATTTTGTGTCATTGTTACACGAAATCTGAATACCTATGCCTTTTTTAATACATTTTTTATGTATCATAGAGAAAGGTCCAGGTCTTTTATTCATGTCAGTTAAGATTTAACAGAACATCAGTTTGAAACCAGGATTTTAATTTTTTTTTATACAGGAGGTAACAGTTTTCTTCTGAAAAAAATTAGGAAACCATAGATTTTATAAAAGTAATGAGATTGCAATATACATTTATTTCGAAATCTCAACCATTTCCGGGATACAGAGTCTTGAAATAAAAAAAAGATCACATTTTCTAAAATATTTCTGAAATGCTCTATGTACAATGTTGATATTTAAAGTATGATGCTTTTTCGGGTTGTTGTGCCATGGCCTATGTACCTACTTGGTCGCCGCCAGTTACAGACCGTTCACTTCCATAACCTTAGTTAGAAACCTTTGATATGCCCTTGTTGATCTTGAGCTAAGTTCTGTGGGCGCAGACCAGATATCAGAATATCTAGGGCTACCCAGATGTTCATTTCGGTTCTTATTGTTGGTTTTTATATATTCACAGTATTAGTTTATAAACAGACAGTGGTGGAGACACTAGTGACACTGCCACTAAGAACTTCAAAATTTCGACGCCACCAGATAGTTTGTACATTTGTGCATTTAATTCTTGTGTAAGTTTTTAGTATATTTGAAAAATCAGCCGAGAAATTATTTTTTTAATTTAAAATTGGTTTATCACATAGCTGAATAAAAATAAAATAACTCTAAAACTATTCGTTTCCCAGAAAAAATGTATTGGAATTTTTTATTCGAAGCACAATTTTAAAATCAGTGTAGCCAAACCAGAAGTCTCAAAACATCATTGACGTAGAAATTGAAGTCTTTTTGGACTTTCAAAAATTAATAATTTGAGTAATTTAGAAATTGACTAAAAGTATTTAATTCCTAATGTGATTTTTCGTTTTCAAATAAACGGAAAAATGGTATTTTTCAGTTTATTTAAAAGCTATTATATTTTCGAAATATAAAACGGGTCTTGACATAAATTTAACTGACAGTGGAATATTAAATATGAAATAACTCTGAAACTATTTGATTCACAGAAAAAAATATATAGGAATTTTAGTTCGAAATGCAAATTTGAAAACATTGTAGCCAGTTCAAAAATCTAAACGTCAATGACATAGAAATTTAAAATTTTTATATCTCTGTCCCTCAGAAAATTTAAAATGTCAATTGCAATGCTTTTTTCGATCGTTAATATTTATACTGCATTTAAATTTAATTTTGAATAAAAAATTCCTATACATTTTTTCTGTGAAACGAGCAGTTTTAGAGTTTTAGGCTTGTTTTTCGAATGAATTGAGGTATATGTTTTTTTAAATCAGAATAGGATTTAAATAAACTTACGCAATTTTCAAAATTACCAGTGTCTAGAATTCTAAGGTTCTTACTGACAATGCCTCGCACTGTCTACGCCATTGGTTAACAGATTTGTTTATCAGTTCTGTGGATTTTTGCCTTTAATTAATCATATCATTAGCTCAAGTTTTATCATTTTATTTCTAGCGTTATCAGTTCTATTCCCAAAAATCTAAAATTTCAGCATCTGTATCTTAGAAACCGTTGAGATTTCGAGACAAGTTTTTAAAGCAAAGTGTCACAGATGTTTTTCTACTCTTTATCAGGGTAAAACTTAGACACCGTCAAGCATTATTTTCGTTGACGAATTCATTGATAAGAAAATTGTCATATATGAATAACTTACACACAATTTAACTTTTTGAATATAAAGGGTCATTTCCCATTTCTCATAAAAAATAGACAGGTTTGCATAAAACATGTAACACGAATTTCACTAATTTTAAAAAAGGAGTACAAAAAACTTAATTTCGAAGTTTGTGGAACAGTAAAGACACAATCAGTTCGTTAGTAGATATATTTGCGGTGACCTTTCGTTGCAATTTAATTCAACATATTTTCGATTTACACTTGAGAGACTAGATGCTACTATTGGGCACTAGCTACTTAGCGACTTAATCAGACAGAATTGCCAAGTTTCAAATCTAGACGTTTTCATTAATGTTGCTATTACTTTGAGGAACTCGAATGAAACATGATAAGCAAAAAAAGTGCCTAATTTGCTCTTTGATTACCTTATTTGTGTCTGTTTATTTATTTTTTTGTTTATTTCCAGTTGTAAAAATTGCTCAAATAGACTTACTAATAATACTTTATTGCAGTTATGTGATTACTTGAATAATAATTTTTATTTTTAAATAATTTGGAGTTTTGTCAATGTCTCGTTATCTCGAAAACGATGTATTTTATGAACATGCAACAGGAGTACATTTATATAAAGTCTTTAGGCTTCAGGCTTTGAAATAGCTTAGAAAAAAAAAGAAAAATGGGAATGGTAAAAAAGCTTATTGTTGTGGATGTTTGAGTACAATTAAAAACTGAAAATATACGCCAACTCAAAAAAAACCGTTGCAGCCATTTTTTTAATAAGCGTTTTAGTTATATCCTGTATAACATTTTATACAAATTTAACTTACGAAATAGATGTTCTTTTCTCTTAACTCGTTTTATTGAAAATGGTTTGAGGCGTTTTTTTTGTAAAAATTGCATTTGTCATTAAATGTAAAATTTTCAGAAGCATGTAAATACTTATTAACTTTATTAAACAAAAAATATTTACTAGTAGTGGTTTTGTTTTTGAAGTTTAACATCATGAAGTATATTTAGTACTAGAAGACACTCTCAGTTTCAATTTTGAATTAGAATTTTCAAAAATTCTTTATGTTTTCGCATGAATGCTATATTTCATATTTAATTGATGTCTAGGCCTAAGAAAATTATATTTCAATTGTTTTTATAATTCAGAGAGTAATATTTTTATATTTTAAATTATGTGGCATTCTTGAAGGAAACTAATTTTGGCATAAAAGGTTTTTGGGAAATTGACAAATATTTAAACGATTTAAACCCATATTTTCTAAAACACAGTGATTTTATTGGTACTTTAATCAAGTGTTGTAAATTGTATCTATCCACAATCCCTTAAACACGAGTTGATCTAAAATATTTGAAGTTCTTAGATGTTCTGTTAGTATTTAGCAATTCATAAAAAAACAGTTTTCAAGTCAAAAGTCAGAAGTATGACAAATACAGACAGTTCAAGTATTGCGATTTTCTTAAAATTGTTATTTATGACATTATGTTTTTTAATATTCTTCTTTTAGCAGAACCGTTATATTTCCTAAATTTATAATTTCCGAAAACCTGCACGCCCTCGAATGTCCATAAGAGAATGAGAGATTAACATAAATATCGCTTGTGTTTTTTCACGTATATCAAGTAAACCACATTACCACCACACATCTCGATACAATTCTTACAACAAAACGGTCTATTTTTTTGCATTTTGGGGCGTGAGACAAGGTTGACTCGCTGTATATAATGGGGACTCCCCCAAAAAGCGACACTACTTGTTCGGGCACGACCACCGTTAGTTCAGAAATCACAATGCTAGCTTTCGTAAGTAGTAGATAAACGCTTATTTGTCTAATGAAACGGATCTGTCAGTTACGTGATTGATAATACGTACGTGGGGGGCACTGAACCCTTAAAAAATTGGCGTGCGTGGTGTAACCGGCGACAAATTTGCAATTGTGATTTAATAATGGATATTAGAAATGTGAAGTTTGTGAGTTATGTGATTGTCTATTGTACAGGGCGATTCATAATTCTATTTTTATTGCGATTTACTTCTTTGCTATTAAGATATTGAAATGGTATAAAATGTAGATAAAAATAACGTCGCAAGGTTATTTCTACTTTTTTTATATACGGGCTCACAAGCTCTTGAAGTTGAAAATCGATTTTTCTTTGCAACTTTTTTGATTTTCATTAATTTTGAACAATTTATGAGTAAAAGTTATGTTATTTGAAGCTCTTTATACTAATGTACTTAATTTATTGATAACTTAATTGGTAGCCCGGAGCAGAGCACCCTCGGTTGTAGTAACCCCCAGAATAATTTATAAACTTACTTTTACAACTGTTATTGCCGTTTTAAAGATATTTTTGTACTTTTTTTAAACGAAGAAGGTGTACATATTTGATATCCGAAACACCAAACCGTTTTCCAGACACAAGCATTTTAACTATAAAAGTACCATACTATTTCCGACGCATCTTAATTGTAATAAATATATAAAAACAAAAATTAGTCTCTTATACGGTAAAATAATTACATAATATTAAACGCCATTTGACATTGTGCATTTATTTTGTTACATAAAGAATTTCTATTTATTACAAATAAGATATGTCGGAAATAGTGTGGTATCTTTATGGTTAAACGTGTTTATCTTTAAAACAGTTCATTGTATTGATAATAAACAAGTGTACCCTTTTTACTTAAAAAAAATTAGAAAGTTTTACACTGAAAGCAATGCGCATTATTCTGTATTAGAATTCTAAACGGCGTTGTAAGAACAATGTTACATAAATAAGTGAATATTCTATATAAAATGGGTATTACTAACACAGTTGTTTAGTGACTATAAACCATATTCTTCATTAAATGATTGCATAACTGTATATACAACGTTGTTTATATTCCTTCCAAAAATAATAACTATAACTTATTTTAGAAATAAGAAAGGGTCCAATTTCTCATTTCTTATTTCTTATTTCTAAAATAAGTTACAATGGAGAACTCACATTTATCAATTTTTGCACTTAATAACTATAACTTATTAAAATGTTCTATAGGTACTCGTTATTAGGACATCTGGTACTAGTTATAAGTTTTATAATAATTAATATATTAAACTGTTATATACTTTTCATGAGTTAAAAATATATTAACATTGCCATATTAATTTTCTCAAATTTTGTGTTAAAAATGATGACAAATAGCTCCCAAACTGCCCAGCTTATGTATTCTTGCATTACCTTCCATTACATGGAAATTTGCACTACAATTCTTCCACCATAAGCATGAAATATCCCTGAGGTTGTTATAATTCTGTTTCTTTTGCTTGCTTGACTTTACTAGTTCTCTTTTCACAATTTCTGTTCCTCCATCTTATGTAAAGCTTAACATCAGCGGTTTCTAATAGGGCATACAAAATAATATTTTTTCAAGATTTAGACAAGATTTAAATATGACAAATCAAACAGGCAGATTACCATATTGGTCGTTATACAACAAATCTTTGTGACAATACAAATGGCAATAGAACCTATGCATAACATGTACGAAGCGCATTCCAGTTAAACTCGTTGAATAATGAGTGTTTTTTTTGTAAATAAAAGTTGTATATTTGTTACAAAAGGTTTAAGATGCGTCACACACATTATTCTAGAGAAACGGTTTAATATTTCTTTCAGTGTAAAAGCGAACAAAACTTATATAGGCCTATAACATGTTTTGGAGGTCTAGAATACCGAAATCCATAAATTATTTATCCAAATTTAATAAAAAAACAAAAAGTTATGACGAAAAATCGATTTTCAACTTTTAACTTCAAGACCAATATATGTAAAAAAGCCCTGCGTAATCAGATTGTTCAATAAGAAAAAAATATGACTGAAAAACCGTTTCTTTTGTGAAAGTTATATAGGATCTAGATATATTGCAGTCTTTTTGATGATAATCATTTATTTACTAAACTTTGTTTAGTGCTTGCCAGTGCTTATTTTTGACTAATCTCTTATATTTTAGTTCCATGGGATAAAAACTTTAATCACGAATTCTGCGATATGTCAATATTTTGTTACTTTTTAATAGAAGAAATATAATATAAGTATTACCATAAAATAAACTCCGGAAACTTAACTTATTGTCTAAAGAAAACATGATTGTTAACTCATCTTACAAGTATTTAACACAAATAATAATTTTTAGTGTTGCTCCCAGGTAATTGTTTTTCAGATCACACTTTCCATATTCATGAAACAACCATGTCTTAAACAAGAAAATACTACTTGTTCTATTCAAATAACGCAAAGAAATAAATTATATGCGACACCAATTCCACGATTTAGAAGTTCGAAATTGATTTAAATTTTTTTAAGTGAAATACTGCGCATTGTTAGAAAAGCCTGCTTTTAAAATATAATGCCAAACTGAAGTAGCAAATAATAAATTTTTAAACATTTTAAACAAAAAAATTCTTTGTGGACATGGGTCCAAAAATGCTTAGTGAAAAAAATACAAGGTGCAAAGGTCCGTTGCCGTAAATATATTTTTTAATTAGATTTGAAATAGTTGATCAGATCCAAATCAAATTCGTGCAGGTCTTTAGATTATGGATTGCAATAATCTTATGGAGTCTAGTTCTTTTTACTTACAGTACAGTGATTTAGGATTTTTTATATTCAAAGATTTAGAGAACGAAGTAAATTTCTGTACACTGATCATATATAAAATGAAATACCTCGCCAGTGGTATATAAATGTATTTATTTCAGTATTTATACAAACACTGTTACATGTATAGCGTCACAGCGATATAAAAAACAAGATGCATGTTAGTGTTGTCGAAAAATAAGAATCGCTCAACGATAGAACGCTAAAAGGTTACACCCTGTATATCCCTCGAAATTGCTACAGCCACCTCAACTGCACATCCTTATCGACTTACTATCAGCACTGTACTAAGCCATTGTTACAAATTTTCCCTTTTTTGCCACTGAAAACCATATATTGATTTGCCGCCCTTACACACAAATTCACCCTCCATTCACGTATACATTTTCCTAACATCTCGCGTTACACAACAATTCTTTAAATATTTCTAATATTAAAATTATCCATCCATTTTCCTGAAAAGCCATCTTAAAATACACAAAAAGTAGGTACTCTTCATCGATAATATGCACCGTTTTGAAAATAATTTGTAATACATAGATTTATGCACCATATACACTTCGAAAATCATAGTGCCATTGATTGCTTCTAAATTTTGCTGTCACATTACACTAGTTTAGTCGGCCACTCTGCTATTGTTCCACGCTAAGGTAATCGCAATCGATAATCTAAATATATTTGTACAGTTTTATTTCGATCTGATGAGTCGTTTTAAAGTTATTTAAAAATATATGTTTTCCTAAATAAAATTCACAGGAAACTTTTAGTTTAGAATGACAAAGGGACATTTCCTATTTCAGTTTCAGTATGGAACCATATTTTAGAAACACCCTGTATAATAATTGAACGGATGCAGTTGAATTATCCTAACAATTGAAGTCTTTTTATATTTTATAGAGCGGAAATATGTGTTTTGTTCTTTTCCCGTCGACTCTCTTGACGTTAGAAACGGTTCATTTCTTCTTTAATAGGTTATCCTTTCCCCCTCGCGGTTACCTTTTTCTAAGAGAATCAGTACAACTGCTACGTGCATGGGAAAATAGTAGTTTCATAGATTAAAACAAAACAAAAAATTTAATTAAAATAATGACACAGTTTGTAATAAATGTAGGCACTATAAGTAATTGTGGTTTAAAGGGCTTCGTCGACACTTGGCATTAATTCCAATTTATTAGAAAATTTTTTGTGGTTCCATAAATTTATAACTAAAGCAATTAATCAAAAGTGCCACGCATTATGAGTAATTTCTTAAATTGGGCGCGCGGTTTTGTTGTGGAAATCGTCGATTTTTCCTGGGCTGCGATTAGCTGGTGAATGCATATTGTGCGAGTATTGTTCGCCAGAACAATGAAAAGATAGGATAATTTGTTAAAAATTGACAACGTTGATTACAATTGGTTAAAAACCGTATTTGAAAAAGCGTTTTACATTCTGTGATAATCCACATTTAGGAGCTTTTCAAGATTTCTTTTCATAAATACAAATCCCCGAAAAAACTTTGAAATATAACAGTTTTAGCCTAGCCTGGAACCGTGACATTAAATAACTCCTGAGTTTTTGATGCCTTTGTTCCTGAAGTTATAGTTTCAATAAAAAAACCTTTCGATAGTTTTGAGAAATTCTATTCTAGTAACACCTTTTCAGAGTACCATCATCCTTCTTGGAGTGATAGCAGCCGCTAATGCAGGGCTAATAACTCCACACCCATTAGTCAGAGCCTACGCTGTCATAACTCCAACACCCGCAAGCATAGTACTACCTCAAGGTTCTAGCCTAGAGGGCCGGTACATCCCAGACCACCTAGAAACTCTTTACGACGACGGTTCTTATAAGCCACAACCAACCTCCCTGACACTGGCCGCCTCGCCTTACGGACTTGTGCCTGCCGGATCCGGACTTGAGGGCCAGTACATACCGGATAACCTCGAGAGACTCTACGACGATGGTTCCTACAAACCTGAAGCTGCTCCGGTACCATTTAGTGCCTCTCCTTATGGACTAGTGCCAGCTGGATCTGGTTTGGAAGGCCACTATATACCTGATCTTAGTGAGAAATTGTACGACGATGGATCCTACAGGCCTCAATATGTAGTTGCTTAATGGAAATTAGATAGAAGTTGTATATAGTAATAAAATTTTGTACAAAATATTGGTGCCTTATTTAAATTTATAGATTAAAGTCTCAAACTCTCTGCTGTAGTTTCTACCAGTAACGAATTTAATTACAGTAGACTTTGTACACTTCAATGCATTCAATTGATTTAATTTGTTTGAATGAATATAAGTCCTTAAAACATTATTTTTGTGGTTTGGGTTCTGTAGATATACCTACTTACGATAAACCAGTACTAATCATGAAATTATGAAACATGACAATTATACGAGATTTTAAATATTGCATTTTAAAATAATTCATGTCAGAATTTGTAAAACATATATTTTGATTGTGTTAGTGCTGATGCATCTCTTATCAAATAGTAAATCCTGGAAAACATTGAAATGGAAATTAGTTATATAATTCACTCAGGTCATACGTTATTAGATTTTAACGAAACAAAGCTGTTGTAATAGTTTGAAAAGTTCAAATTCCATTACACGACGTAATTCCACTTTCTTTTTAAAAAACTTGAGCAAAACAACAAATACGCTCTAACTCTATTGTGTACAGTATTCCTTGATGTGTTACAGTTTAAATGGCATAATTTTCAATCCATGACCAAAGTTTTTATGAGTTTCTACATGCTTTCACTTATCGATGTATTAACAAATCCTATTTAATCGAATTACGTGTAAAAATACAAGTGAATAATAATGTGGTTTTACTAGTTTTAATAATGGCACGCCAGTTGATGAGAAATCCTTATCCAGGATCGGACTGTCGCAAAAGTGATTTATGACCTGCTGCTTTTTAAATATATGTCTTAAGCAAACGCTACTTGTTCCCGTAGCACAGGACGTTTTTCTTTAATATTTCCAAGAGAAATAAAGTGTTTGCCTTGAAGGAAAAGTCGATATAGAGCTATGGTGTTGTAAATCTTTTATAATGGAGTATAGTCCATCACTGGGATGTTTACATTAAATATAAACAATGACTAATACCAATTTAATAGATATAAAATACTAACGCGACACTTCTCTTGTAGTGTTGGTGTACTCAAGCATAAAATTATGGTAAGTAGTAATAATATTAGGTTTTTATTGAGATTTTTTCGATCCTTCACTATATATACTTATAGGAAGTAAAGGTGTTTGATCTTAAGGTGCTAAACAATTTATCACATTTTATAAAAAGCACAGTTTTATTGTAATTATTGAACATTACAATGGCAGTGTTTTTTCAAGGTTTCGTAAATACCCTCAAAATTTTTCAAATTTGTTTCTTACAGTGTCTTATTTGTTACATGATTTATCCTTAAATAAAACTGACCACTTATTTTTTAATTTACTAAAACGTATTTTGAATTTAAATATTCTAAACTAGTTTTTTTTATTCTTTTTTATTTTAGATTTTATTCTACATCTGCGGAATCGCTGCTATTGCAAATGGAGCGACAATCCCCCTAACCAACTTACTACCACCAGACTTTCCTCACTCCTCACCTTCTGAAACAGAAATCAGCGCCAAGCTCAAAGGCCTCTACGTGCCAGATAACCTTGAAAAACTCTATGATGATGGTTCCGACAAATCTCCTCCCGCCCCCGTTCCGCTGGCCAACTCCCCTTACGGACCCGTGCCCGCTGGATCGGGTCTTGAAGGGCAATATGTCGCAGACAACTTGGACAAGAGGTACGATCCTGGTTTATATACTCCTGATAACCTCGAGCAGAAATTCGACAATGGACTTTACAAGAATGAAAACACTCCTGAACCCATTCTGTTTCAATCTCGTTTTGGTTTGGTGCCTGCCGGTTCGGGTCTTGAAGGGCAGTATGCCGATGATGAAATTGAAAAACAGTTTGATAGGGGACAGTACGTTGATGCTCAACTTGAGAAACGCTTCAATGACGGACTTTACAGAGGTGAACCTTCTGCAACTTCAGCTTACAATGAAGTTCCCCATGGTTTGGTATCTGCCGGAGTTGGTTTGGTGCCTTCCAAATAATAAAAAAGTGTGTAGTTGGTAACAAATCGTGAGTGTTTTATTGTAGAAGTTTTCACAGAAGTAGTATTGTTAAACCCCACACATAATGTTTTGTTTTAACTAATACTATGACCAGGTAGTTTCAAATCAATAAAAATTATTTTATTTTGTTGAAGTATGACTTTATGTTCAATCACTTAATCACAGAAAAATTAAGATGCAAAAAACATTATATCTGATTTTAACCGCAAAAATTAGTTCTGAAGAATTATGAGGTAGAGGGAGTGGATTATTATTTTGTGACAATACTTGCGGAAGAGAGAAGTTAAAATAATAAAAGAATATTTTATTAAGTCCCTTCTACTTCTTTCAGTTTCATTTACTTAAAAATACACATTTTCATATCCTTAAATAGAAACGATTGGATTTCTTGTTTTCTTTCTTTTGGGTCTCGCTCAGGCGACCTTGCCAGCGGTGAATCGTTCCAAATTCTTCTCTCGGCACACTGGCAGAAGGTTAAGGTCATCGAAACTGAAAGAGCGCCTCGTAATTCTTCTGTTTGGAAAAAGGAAAGTCAGTTGCATAACTACCTGTTTTAATGACAATGAGTTTTCTATTTATATAAGGATCGGATCTTGTTTGGGAAGAGGTCCAGGGTCAAAATTATTTAGGAAATGGGTAAGTAACCTTTGTGAAATTGACGTTGACTTATAAATTTCCGTTTATTTTAAATTATACATAATTTGTTACATATTAACGTTTGATTAGTACAGTAGGTGTAGTATATTTTAGACCTCATCCTGTTAAACAATGTGGTGTTGTCAAATGTGTTCTTCTTAAGTATATACAGGATGTCCGATAACGATTGGGCTATAGCTTAGTTGGATGAAAATAAAGGGACCTAGATCAAGTTGCCTTAATATAATTTTGCTTTTTTTAAAAATTTTCTATTACTCAAATACGTCACAGAGCTATTTTAATATTTTTTTAAATAATAAATCAAAAAGTTTTGTTCTTCAAATAAAATAGGAAATAACTATTTTGTTGAAAATATCAATAGAAATTAAATGTACTTATCCAACTTTCAAAATATTTACAATCTTTTTTTATTGATTTGAGGTATATATCGTTACAGCTTAGAGTAATTATTAACATCCTGTAACACTTACAGTGTGGTTCTACGAAGCAACCTTTGAAAAAGGTAATAATTTAGTAAAAGAATGAATGTTAACAAAAATATCACCGAACACTCAACCATCCATAACTGATAACTAGTAGAAAATTGAAATCCAGTTTTCCCTGGTACGATGCTTTTTCGCAAAATTGACAAGAATACCAATTTCACAGCAAATAAAGTATCATTACATAAAACACCTACATATGTTTTGCCGAGAACTTGACAAACAAATGAATAATAAATATGGTAAAAAACAAAAAATTGTTTCAGGTTATGCTTTACATAATAAAAAAGCCGTCATGTTCGGCTACCCCAAATATCTTTCTGTACCAATTATGATCCAAATTTCTTAGAAACTCAATCATTTAAATGAATAGAAATAAAAAAAATAGACCTGAAATTGCACTGAAGTGTGGACTATTCGATTTGGGATATCATGTATAAAATAAAATATATGTATAATATGGTAGTCGGTGCAAGAGAAAAGTTGAAAAACAGTTTTGTAAAAACTCATGTTGATCCATTTTATCAAAATAAATAATAAAAGAAAAACAAAATTACTGTTTTCTAAAGTGATTCCTAAAGTCCCTATGATCTTTAAAAGATTAAAAGGAGAACATACTTTAACATTCTAACAGTACAGTTCTATCATAGTACTTACCTAGATATAACATTTGAAAAAAGAAACTGACCAGAAGTGTTGGAATTAGAAAGATTCTGAGGTTTTTAAATTCGTGCTCAAAAAAGAGAGAATTATCTTTTACATATTTTAATACACCATATATAATTAAAACTTTTGCGCTCAAGTAATTGAGTTATAGATCAAAGACTGTGTTTTTAAAATCTAATTTTTATCATAGAGAATTTAGGAATCATTTTAGGAAAAACTGTTACTGTTGTTTTTTTATCCACAATGATCAGGCCTAAAAGTTTTTCTCATGACCCTATTTCGTCATGCGTAAACATACCTCTTTATTCTAAAATCAGTTTCCTTATAATGAATAACTTACGAGGTTTGTTCATAAAATACCCGAACTTTAGTGAAATGCGGTTGGCAGCATTGCACATAACCTGCTCTGTTCACATGTTCTTGGATTGTTGATATCTCATTTAGTTTTCGCGATATTGTTATTTCAGTGCAACATGTTTAAGTGTTAGTGATGATTTTTCAAATGTGCGATTTTCTAGATCAAGGATGCAACGCAAAATTTTGAGTGGAATTGGGGGAAACTTTCATGGAAACGTTTCAACTTTTAAAACAAGCTTACGGAGATGATGCTCTGGATCGCACGCAATGTTTTTCACGATTTAAAAGTGTTAGTCAGTCAATTGAAGCTGATCTTCGACCAGGAAGGCCTTCGATTTTAGCTGATGGCTGCCGCATTCAGAAAGTCAAAGATCTGGTGAGTGCAAATCGCCTATTCACTGTCAGAGAAATTGCAGAAGAGCTTAGTATCTCAACTGGGTCATGCCATGAGATTTTGACTGAAAAATTGAATATGCATATAGTTGCAGCAAAATTTGTTTCTGGTTTGATGACCGATACCGAATAGCAGAAAGATCGTATGGACGTTTGTCGGCAACTTCTTGAATAATGGCTACGACATTGAGACGAAAGTTCAGTTATCACAATGTATTAGCAAAGGATCTCTACGCCCCAAGAAATCACGTTAGTCTCGATCTAATTTCAAAGTGCCAAATCAAATAAATGTCCTCCCTGACCCTCCTTACTCGCCAGACCTGACTTCTTGCGATTTTTTCTTATTTCTGAAATTATAATCGGTGCTGAAAGACCACCGTTTTCAAACTATTGATGACACCAAAGCAAATTCTTCACAGACTTTAAAGGCCATTTCAAATGAAGCTATCCAGGACTGCTTCGAGAAATGGAAATACCCCTGGAAAACGTGTGTAAATACGGGAGGGAAGTACTTTGAAGGAGACAAAAGGACCAATAATGTATAAAATTAATAATAACGTTTTAAAAAAATAAAGTAGGGTTCTTTTCTGAACAGACCTGGTATATCGTCAATTACCTAATGACATGGATGTGGTATGAATAAACTTCTTGCAAAATGGTATGCTATTCGATATTGTACCATGATTGTACCCCAACAGTCTTAAATTAGTTATTGTTATTTCGTCAACAAATTGAACTCGTATAAAAATTGTTATAGTTAACAAAATCACCCAGTTCCTAGCCTTTCACTACCTTAGTTGTGGTGCAAGGTTAATGTCCGGTTTCATAACGGTTGTAGGTGAAGATTTATTGAAAAAGAGCAAGGATGGCAACTAATTCGACATTGGCAGAATTAACACATTTCCTCCGCAATTTTGAAATAATAGCTGAAACAATTAAAGACAGAGTTGTTGAAATATAACCCTAATATAATATATTTTATATTTCTTTCCTGACATTGTCGGTTTTTAAGGGTATAAGGTATGCAATTACATTTACAGAATACAACGAACAACACTACTAAAACACATAACATTAGTCATTTGAATTAGATAGATATCTATTATTTTGATATACGATTTTAACATGCCGTATCGACATTAACCCGCAATACATTGTGTGAAGGGAATCCGTTATTTATCGATTTGTAAATTTCCAACACTTCACCGAATACTCTGTCTGTTACAGTTCACGTTTTTTTTTTTGAAGCACGTATACGGCCCTTTTGAAATTTACTGTTTTTGATGTTCATTAAACAGAAATTGGTATGCGCTTTGTTTTTACTTATCAAGGCTATTCGTTTACATCAAAGCAGGCTATGCCTTTTTATTTATGAGGGAGTCGACGTGTGGAGAATATGCTGAAGTTAATTTTAAAGTTCGCTCTCACAAAATTCAATTAGACAAATTAATATTGAGTTTTGAGGTTTGGGAAGTTGCAGGGGTGTACAATTTCGACTCTTTCAGGGGTTTCAGGGTTGTTAACTGTGTTATTTTTATTTTGATGTCAATAAGTTTTCTACTGAATTTCAGTTCCATTTTAAATGTGGCCTTGTTCATAAGCTGGATTCAATTGTGATAAAAATCTAATTAAATTTATTTTTGGGTTCCAATCATACACTGAATTGAAATAATTCACTTAACACATTAAAGTTTAAAGTTCATAAAAGTAATGCGTTATAATGCTACCATGATACTATCTGTCTAAAAAAAGTAAAAATCGAAGAAAGTTTGTTCATATTACAGGGCAAACTGCAGCTATGTAAGTTTTAATCAGCTTGCTTGTGCATGTGTGCAGCAGTTAAACACGCCATGTTTATGTGAAATCGATATATTTAAATTTCTGAAACGTACGAAACAGTGAACTTGCAAGTAGCGTCATGCAACACGGATATTTTTTGTGATATCGGAAGGAATTTACAATTGAAATTTAATGTCGAAGCTACGATGCTAAGAGTGTCTTTATATAAAATTAATTAAAACTTCCACATGTTTTTGTGTGTGTTCACTTCACAAAAAATGTAATAAACTAGTTTTCTGTGAAATGATGTTGCTTATTCTTGTAATTCCAAAGTATGTACGTATTGGAAGACTTTTACTGACAAGCTAATGTTGTGGAAAGATACGAATTATTCCTCTGCTTCGAGAAATTCAAGGAACAACGGATTTATATTTTAAAGTAATGCTTTGGTCACTGTAAATGGAGAAAGGAAGATAAGAAAAGATTGCTGAATAATAGTAAAAAGCTCCTTCAACATCAGTCTTACCTGTAATTGCTAGGAGATAGCATTTTTATTACGGCTAAATTGATGGGTTTCTTAAGCTTTCTTGTTTTATTTAACCGCAACGTTCCCGTGCCAGATAATTATCTAAATAAATTTTCGCATTTAGTGCCAGATAGGGGGTCGTTTTAGTAAAGTAGTTTTTTAATGAATATGAGAAAAATTGTGTATAATTTATTATTACCAGGCACTAAAAGGGAAGTTGCTTTGAAACTTAAAATAATTTATACATCGTTACTAGTTACTTTGTATATTTTT